AACCCTGCTTGCTGAAACTGAGGAGGACCTGAAGCGCTTGCTGCAGAGGGTCAAGGACTGCAGCCTTCAGTATGGACTGAGGCTCAATGTCAAGAAGATAAAGACTCTCACCACTGGACCAATCAGCAGCATCAGGATGGATGGTGAAGAGACTGAGATTGTTCACAGCTTTAGTTTGCTTGGCTCCACAATCAACAGTCTTGGCAACAGCAGCCAGGAAATTAAAAGACATATTGCGATGGGAAAGTCTGCTGTTACGGACCTCTCCAAAGACTACAGTGCGTCTGATATAGGCCATGGTCTTTGCAATCACTTGTTATGCGTCAGAGAGTTGGACCATGACTAAGGAGGGTAGAAGGAGGATTGATGCCTTTGAGCTGTGGTGATGCAGAGGAGTACTGAATGTACCATGGACTGCTAAGGAAACAAACAGGTTCATTCTGGAGAGAGTAAAACGGGCAGTTCCCTGGCGGCAAGGATTCTGAGGGCTTCGTCTGACATACTTTGGACATGTTGTAGGGAGAGACCGGTCCTTGGAGAGGGACATCATGCTTCGGAGTGTGGAGGGCAGGTGCAGGAGAGGAGGGTCCTCTATGAGGTGGACTGATTCAGTGACTGGGGTAATCAGGATGGTGTATCGGAGACAGTGCGATTGGCACAGGACAGAGCAGAGTTTAGGGGTGTTGTACATTGGGTCGCTGTGAGTCACAAGTGACTTGACAGCACATAACAACAAACAAGATCAATTTTTACAGCAAATAATATTAAGTAAAACATAAAACTAGTATTAAATAAAAGTAGTTGGTGGATTCCAACCATCTGCCTTTGGGTTGGCAGCACAACTCCTTAACCACTAGGCCACCAGTTCTGCCAAACAACAACACATATGTCTTTAAATACTGATTGAGTTAACCGAAACTAGGTAAATGAGCCTATAATCAAGAATTAGTATGTAAGGTATACCTTTACTGCAGCTTTAATAAACAAGGAAAAACTTTTCTTGAAGAAAAGAGTTGTAAAAAGAAAATTTGCAGAAATAAACATTTAGTCTAAAGGTTACAAGTCTTGAAACTATTAAAAATTAATCTTACTATTCTACTAAACCCAAACTAATAAAAGAAAACTCTTTGCCTTTTGTAATAAGCCTACTGTAAAAGTAATCACTGCCATGACAACATAGAGAATTAATAAAGTTATAGCTTATAATTTTTGGTATCTATATATGAATGTTGCAAATCTTTCTATCCCTAATGGCTAATTATGACAAATATTTAACAATCAACCCACCAAAGTTCTCTAAAGAGGTCTCATTAAATAAAAAAAGGTGTAAAAACTTGTTTTAATTTTAGTCAAAACTTAAAGATAACTGGAACTAATAAAATGTGTTTCCTTAATGCAGAGGGAGGCAGCAAGCATAAGTGGCTAGAGATAATACTGTAGTGGAAGGCAGTACAGAAGATGATGTTGTTGTTGCTGGGTGCTGTCAAGTTGACCAGGACTCACAGAGACCCCATGTAAAACAGACCTGAATCTTGCTCTATCCTGCACCAACCTCCGACCATCAGATGTGCCCACGACCACTGTTATAAACCACTGTATCAATCCATCTTTTGACAGTCCAGAACCAAACAGAATCAATGTAGTAAGAAGGGGAGCGTTTGCAAGGAGAAGCAAACATGTATTCAAAAGTTAACATTAACTTTGCATACTCTAACCCTACAAAAGTATTCACAGGGAGCTCTAGAGGCCTAATGGAAGCAGCTGCATTGCAATCCCATAGGTACGCAGTTCGAATCCACCAGATGCTCTCCTGGAGAAAGAGGGGCAATCTCCTCTACCAGTCAGATCTGATGGTACACACACAAAAAATAATAAATTTTAAAAAAATATATTCACAGACAGAACGGGGCTCACACAGAAACCTAGTTAAGAGTTCTTATCTTTTTATCTGCAAAAGACTCAAGCAAGACCCACACCTCACTCCATACACAAAAACCAACTCAAGGTGGATCATGGACCTAGGAC